CTCAAACTATGCCCTTATGGTCCTTTATTGAATGTGTTTGTTCATATTTCTGTTTGTTTCTGCTAAATTATAAACATATCTTTTGTTTTTGTTTTTTATTTAAAAGTTTTTTCATTCTATCTCTAGCAACTAACACAGCACCAGACAGAATAAGAGTCCAGTAAGGGTTACTGGGCAAATAAATGAATTCCATGTAATCAGTGACTCCTCAAAAATGTTATTAACCTGCTCAATTACTAAAATTATTTCTGAATTAATTAAAACTTATTCCTGGCTGTTTCAAAAACTCAGATTCACTTTCAAATGACAGCTATATTCCAGCAATTAAACAATTCAAGAGAAAAAAATCTAAATCTAAAGTCAATTTCAAAGAAAAAAAATCTCAAAATAAATTGAAAATCTTTAGTGTTGTTGGAATAACTGCATTGATATATTTTTTCTCTTCCTTCAAGACCACACAAGTGTTGTATTTCCTGTGAGAATTTCTTTGATATTCCCAGTAGTTACTCAATCCAGCATTATTTTCATTTTATATTATGTCCATTAAAAATATGTATTTGCCATTTTCTAGGTACCTAGAGAATTCTTCATATATTTTATCAATATGTGCCATCACACTGTAATTGATCATACATTTAACTACTGGACTGCATACTTAAGGACAGAAACTGTGTTGTTTAATAAGACGGGCATAGATTTTTGACCACCTATTATATTCCAATATCATAACATAGTGCACATATATATTATCTCAACAACAAAAATACATAGAAATCATAAAATTGATATTTATGAAGATTAATTAACTTGCCCCGGACTCCATAACCAATAAATGGCAGAGCTAGTGTTCATACCCACTCTGACTCCAAAGCTGATGTTTCACTGTGATTTCCAAACTGTTTCTCACAACACACAACATCTTAGGTAGAGTATTTATATTCTACAAATAGTTCTCATATCTTCAGTTAATAAAACAAAACAAAACTGTACTCTATTCTTCTACCAACAGCCACCCTCTTGTTTTTTTGTTTGTTTGTTTGTTTTTCTCTGCTTTGCAGCAAAACCTTTCCAAAGAGTTGTCTATAATTACTTTCTTTCATTTTTTTCCTCTGCGCTAAAACATATTCCAGTCAGGCTTTCATTACCTCTGCTCTCTGAAATTGCCCATTAGAGCCACCGGTGACACGCATAACAAAATCTAACGTTTGTTTCTCAGTCTTCATCTTACATGATCTAATAGGAAGAGTTGTCACGGTTGATCTCACCCTCCATCTTGAAATATGCTGTCCACTTGGCTCCCACATTCTTTTAGCCTTCCTCCTCCCTCATTGGACATATCTTCTCCATCTTCTTTTCTTCTTTCAGACTGATAATGATCTTATCCCTTAAGCCTCTTCTCTGTTGTATCTATCCTTACTCTTCTAGTTTTCTCTTATAGTCATGTAGCTTTAGTGTCATCTATATGTCAACAACTCCCAAATTTATATCACCACCCTAGGCATCAGTCACAAATTCAACATGTCTAAGACTAAACTCTTGATCTTACATTTCAAACATGTTCCACCCATGGATAGCCACTCCAGATATAATTTCCAGCTCCAGTTTTCAGGTCAAATCCTTAACCAGAATCTCCCTCTCTCAAACCCTGTGTCCAGGAAATCCTGCTGTCTTTCACCTCAAAATATTTCCAGAATATTACTTCTCATCATTTTCATTGGTCTAGACCACCATCATCTCTCCTGTATTACCTCAGTAGCCATATAATGGTCTCCCTACTTCCCTTAGACTTTTATAATCTTTCTCACAAAGCAGCTAAAGGGTCTTTTTTCAAAATATAAGTCAAGCCATGTCATTATTCTGTTTAAAAATCTGTTTCACTCAAACAAAAGTTGAAATCTGTACAATGGTCTATTGTTATATGTCAGTATTAATAGAATTCAAAATGATGTAACCTTTTAAGTCTCCCATTTCACTATCAAAAACTTACTCTGGTATTAGGAAAACTGTCTCATATAGAAGAAAAAAATGTGTTTAAGAAAAATTTAATGTTTATTCATTTTTTAAATAGTAGAGTAAGGTAGACAGGCTTAAAATTTCAGGTCTGTGCCAGCTGCTTCTGCTTGAATAAAAAGAAACAATCTGACTTCACTTATTCAATTGCCTCTTACAGTATTTTTCTTCCTTTTTTTAATCTAAAAGTTTATTCCTTTGATTTTTCAATAGCCGTGTAGAAGTTACAAAAAGATTTCCCAGTGAATGTGAGATTATTCTGGCTTTAAAAATCTATATATATATTGAAGAAATGAATAAATAACTATTTAGAAAGCATGTATTCTTACCCCAGAATTTTTTATTAATAAAAATGACAGAATCAAGATTGTCAGTAACTATCCACTGTAACTTATTGAATTTTTGTCATTTTTGATATGAAAATCTCACTAATTAGTGAAGTTATACATGAAGCAGCTAGAGTCAATGAGAAAAAGAACATTCTAGATTATGTGAGGAATAAAGTGAATTTATAGATTCCATCCTAACAGAGAAACATGAAAACTGAATAGAAAGTCAATTACAAGAAAAAGAGAGAACATTCAAGAAATTACTATGCATTTCTCAGGATTATTAACATCTTATGCTGAGTTTCAGAGCTTCTTTTAAGCTGAGAAATGTGCCCACATTATCTTTTTTGTTGTTGTTGTTCTGGTTTTTTTTTTTTTTTTAGCTGAGCCATCCTGCTACCTATTGGCAGCTTAGCGGTGTGCCCACATTATCTTAAATGAATATTACAAGTATTAAAGAATACGAAAGAAAATACTTTTAGTTTTAGCTATCTAAATGTGTAACAATTTAATTTTTAATAATCTAAACTTTGCTAATCTTGAAAAATGGAATTTCTTTACTCTAGTGAATAATGAATACAATGCTGATATGCAACCTACCATTTGCCACATATTATGTTATGGAATAGTCATTCGATTTCATGGATAAGGAACAATAAGGCTTAGAAAGGTTAAATTCATTTCTCAAGGAAGAACATCTTATTGGTCATAGAGCCAATACTTGAATGCAGATATATCCAGACTCATCCTCTCCACACATACCTTACATATTGACATCACAGAGTTATTATTAATTCAATGGCATCATGCTCTGAACTACATAGTTCAGTTAAAGTGTCCACTGTAACATAATACAGAAGCCTGGAACTCATCTGTAATTCTTCATTGTCCTATTCCAGTAATATGCTGTCAGTCAAATATTAATTGTCCATTTTATCTCTAAAATAGTTCTTGTCTTTCCTTTTGTTAGCTGCCTTATTACCACCCTGGATCTGGACCTCTTCATCTCTGGGAACAGCATGTTGAAGAGAGGGATGTGTACTTCCTCAAAATTAGTTATGGTCACTGGACTGAACTAAGGGGATCACCAATGTCTTATTTGACACCCTGAGTTAAGGAATGCTCCCTAGTATCCAGATCAGACAGCCAACTCCTAGTGTGAGAAGACGCTTACTATTACCTGAGGCCTCAGTTGGGCCAACCTCAGTCAGCACCATCCAATTGGACAATAGGCTTTGGTCATCAATGGTCTTCCAATACTCATCCACTGCTTAAACAAATTGACATCAAAGTTCAACTGGGTATTACAAGGCCAGTGGATTCTGTTCATACTTCTCATATCTAACACCATCAGATCTCATCCAGTAGAAGCTGCCCCATTTGCTCTTCCAGTCACTTTTCTCTTTCTCCTTCCCATCCTTTTGTGAGTTTATTTCCACGAATCGTCCCCTGTCTTCCTATCTCTGTTTCAATTTTCCCACTTCTCTCTAGCATTCTCACTTTCTAGTATATATAGTCCCCCGCCTCAGCCTCTTGAAATACATGTCTTTCATTTTCTTGTCTCACAAACACATCTCATCTAAAAACCATACTTATCCTGAGGCTTTTATAATAGAAATAACTGAGGTGACTCCAGAAAGGAAAGAAAGGTAGCCTTCTCTCTTTCCACCATTAGGGACCCCAGATCACACTCTCAAGTTTCTGTCAAAAGTCCTTCTTAGACACTTATACCAGCCAGGTTTACCCTTCCCATCCTTACAGTATCATTTATAACCTTCTAGACATTCTCTTACATATATATACCAATGGCTTTAATACCCAAACTCAAGTTTTTCCCACCATTAGCAGTCCTATGTTTATCTCTGGCCACTTTTTTTTTTTTTGCACCTATATACAATTCATCCAAGGTCTGAGTTTAGAGTTCCTTGACCTTAACACATCCAGAAATCGTATGTCTGTTACATTTCTGCAATCATCCTCCAAATTCCTGGGATCTCATCATAACCCAGAATAGTCCACATCTAAAATTGTAAACAATTCTCTATACTTTTGTCTCTCTCATTGAGATATTTTCTTTTGCCATTAGGAAAAAGGTTGAATTCCTTTGCCTGTTACACACAGTTCTTAAGTACCTGTCTTTCTAATTGCATCCTCTATAACATCCTGTATAACTTGATTGTGAGTGGCTAATTGTCTATGAGCCACTAATCATTTATCAGCTATTCTTAATATTTTCATGTATATAAACCCTTGTCCATGTGTTTTTCTCAGAATATTCTTTTCTAAATCTCCATCTGATTATAGCCAACTTACTCTTTAAGACCCATTTCAGGTTATTTTGCCTTCCCCCATTCTCTAAGACAATGTTAACCATTTCTTTTCTCTGTGCTTACAAATAATAAATGCTCAAGATATTGTAATTTTAAAAAATAAGCTTACATGTAAAAATTATAATTATAGCAATCTCCATTGACTTGAGTAACCAGTCTCATTGCTGTATATATTTATGCTCTATTTCCACAAAGATTAAGCACAAAGTTTCAAGAGGATGCCTCAATTCAAATATTTAAATAGCTTTATCACATAGCATTATATTATAAGGAAATATTTATGAAAATATCATTGTAGTTGAGTAGGTAATCGGCTTTCTTTTATTTTAAGGATCAATTTTCCTCTTGAACTAAAGTCACTTCCAAGGGAATCCATGCTCACTATAAAACTGTTTGGGATTATCTGTGCAACCAACAATGCAGAATTACTGGCCTGGACTTGTCTTCCCTTGTTTCCAAAAGAGTAAGTATATAATGTGTAATTAATAAAGTTCTCATCTCAAGAAAACCTCCTTGGAACTAAATATTTTGCAGTATATGGCATAATGAGAAAATTAAGAAGGTATTTTATCTTAAAATTGAGGTAGCTCAATATAAATCATAATTAATAAAAGTGAGACTGAAAAGCACAATGTATAAATGGCTTTGAGAACAGGACTCATGTTCAACTTGTGCACTGGACCATTTACAATAATGAAAAAGTACTTGCATGACCCATTACAATTGATTTTCCTTCTCTAACCAACCAATTTCTCTGCATTTAATACTTCAAAATTATTTAGCTCAATACTGCCACCTAGAAACAATGCAAATCATGGAATTCTGGCTGAAATAAAATTATACAATTGAACTGGTTTATTGACCTTTTATTGCCAAGAAGAAATATTTGGTAACTTTAAGGTGATATATTTCAGAAAAGTAAGCCAACTATGAGTTTAGATAGTCTATTAGAACTAATGGACTTGGCAAAATTAACTGATCATTTAATCATAAGGATTTGGAACTATTAATACTTAGAGTATTTGATAAAGTTAATTACATTTTCTATGCTATTAAGGAAAAACATATTTTAAATAAATCAGCTTAGTTATTTTTCACATGGCAAGACATGTTTTAGAATCAAATTGTAAAATACAGGACTTTTGGAAAATTAGAAACTATATTGTTATTTTACTATTGTTATAAAAAATGTTTTCGCCCTGCTGGTTGAAATGTTTGGTAATACAAATATGTTGAGAAAATTCTTCATCACTTTTTAGTTCCCACATTTAGTCAATATAAATAAGTTATCATCAAAACAATCAAGATAAATCTTTAAAATTGCCTTTGTTGGATTAATTTTGATGTACTGTGTGTGTGTCTGTCTGTGTGTGTGTGTGTGTGTCCATGTGCACATATTCGCATGTTGCTCTATTATTTGTTTTCATGCTATAGCTTATTTCCACGTATATGTTTCTTGAGGACAGGGAAAGGATTTATTTCTGTAATTCTATCATCTAACATAGTACCTCTTACAAATAGGCAATAATTAGAGGTTTGTTTAGTAAACTGAATTGGGAAAAAAATCAATTCCTATAAGAGATTTAGATGGAAATAAAATTTCAAAAGCCTATAACAAACAGTTTTAACTTAAAAGTAATACCAACTGCTGCTGGCAGATATTTGAAAAATATGATTGGTGGGCTAAGAATTTTTATTATTTTCTCACTAGGAGCACCTATGCAGGTGCCCTTTCTTCTCATGAGTGAGTTTCTTTAAAGTTTCAACTGCAGCATTTGTAAAATCTAGCGTTGTTTGTAGAATCATATTTCTAGCTATTCACTGAAAAAATTCCATCCATTTCATTCCTTTCTATCATCTGACACACTACTTTGTATGTAATAGGCAATCAATAAATGTTAAATGCATAAAATGTTGGAACATTTTTGTCTTTCAAACTAATATTCGAGACCTTTTACTAGATAGTTATAAAAGTACTGCGTCCATGTTGTTTTGTCATATATCAGTCACCCCTGGTAAACATTTTATATGCCAGTGATCATAGATGGTGGTCATCTTTAAGTAATGCCATTTGGGACTAATACTAGGCTAGGTGGTGTTTCCCTAAAGGAAAGTGTCAGGATGATGAGACATCACATCAGAACACATAAGTTATTTCAAAGAGCACTTCAAAAAACATTTCCAAAAGACTATTTCTCATGAAAATCAGCAAATCTGCCTCTCTCCTGGGCTAAACAATTTAAAGAAATCCAGTTCTTTTTGAGAAATCAGAAATCCATCATTGGGGCAATTGGGGAGATGTTATAACTCCCACTGTGCTATCATTGCTCCAAGCTACAGAGATTCTAACTCAATTCATTTGATGCTGATATTTCCAGATTAGAGCAAATAGGCCACTTAATTTCATTTTCTTTCACAGAATGATCCCTGCCCATAATCATTTTGTATTGAATCTGTCATTTATTACAGTTTGAATTGCTTATACCTAGCCATGTAGAGTTGTAATAAGCACTTAAGTCTTTATTTTTTCCAACATATATACCACCTGAAATATGCAGTATTTAGGCCTCCTATCTCATCATGATTTCCAGAAGTCAGTTTCAGAAAAACAAGTGGTGACTACGCGCATATGTATCAGTTATGGCTGCATCAAGAATGTCTACACATAAAAATAAACTGACATTTTCAAGCACACAAACTCACCTTCAGGCCTATAAAAAATAAGTCATAAGTATAACACAAAAGTAAAATTTTGCCCACAGAAGTTTTATAATCCTCTCTTTTGCAGATAGGACTTCAAGTACATCTATACTGTATTCACAGTGTCTCCTCACTGCAGTAAGCAAGTGTTATTCTTACCTCAACAACTTTTATGACCTCCCTTTCCTACTCAAATTCAAAACTAATAGTGTAATAGTTACTTCGCATTTCTAGATTGTGGTAATTTCCTTAAATGCAGAGATTCTCAGCTTTGAATGAACACTCTCTTGGGGAGACCATCAACACTCTTCTAATCTTAATTCCACGCATCCTCCTCCTCATGTTTTCTATTTACAAAAGTCTATGGAAATTCATTCTCTCCTCTGTGCTTGCAATATCTAGAAAGGTGTTTAGGTGCAGTCCATTATCGAAAAGTAAGTTAGCCAATGTCAAGCACACAGGGAGCCCAAAGAATGGTGCTGAACATCCTTTCATCCTTGGATTGCCTTAAAGTATATTTTATAGCAGTCTCAGTTGGACAGCTAGAAGTTCATTCTCCCTGTGCCTTTTGCCTGATACATACTCTCATATACACACTTGAGTTAAGTGTTCTGACTTCATTCTGCCCTCCGTGTATCAGGGTTAAGGCCATGGTGACTGTCGATCCAGACGGTATCCAAGGCGAGAAATGACAAATACTGACAGTTATTCTTGCATCATCTCATCCTCTGTAGGAATCAGCTTAGATCACTCAGTTTTTCAGAGTTAAGCATGGCCAAGACATAGAAGGCCATAAATATAACTCATTACGTAACTTAGATGCAAAGAAAAATGCAACTAATATATCACAATTTTCCTCATGCCATCCGCCCTGCAACTAATGAGGAGGAAAAACTTTCCACTGATGACATCAAAAATTAGCCAACTCAGTAATTTAAATACTTCTTTTAGAAGTATGCTGTCTCTTTTGGATAAAATACTTAGCCATTCAATTATCCCCCTGACACCCTGATTCTCTTCCTAAGAGGATATCTGGATCAGAAAAGAAAATGATTCTTTGGCCTGGTGACTTCTGATATTCAAATCAAAGGCGCTTTTTAAGCTGGTGGCTACCTGTTATAGGTAGTTTAACTTGTGATTGGTGCTCTACCAGCTTGATCAGAGATTCCTGACACTCCCTGGGTGGTGTGGGCTTTTGCAGGCGCCATAGACCCATGTGAGGTTTACCTGAGAGTCCCATTTGACCTCAGCATCTTATTCTGACCCTATTCCAGAGGCCCCTTATCCCCACCATGTGACCTCCTTCTGGAAGCCCCCACATTCAGGTATCTTTAACTGTTTCTAGATCACATCTTTTGTATATAGAAACCAAAGAAGTCCCAACAAAGCGACACTTGGGAGTTCCTTCTGCCTGCTTGCCATGTGGTCCCAAGTGTAAGGTCATGTCAGAAGTTGGTACAGGAGCAGCTCAAAAGGTGACTTCCTTCCATGATCTGAAATACGGAGCACAAAAAGGATGCCCCTCTGCCTTCGGCATAAGCTATAGTCACTTATCTAACTCTCCCTGACCATCTGCATTCCAGAAGATGGGGAAATTGGGACATTTTGTCTGCCATGCTCACTCTGTTCCCTCTTTCTTTGTCTTCTGTTTCCCACCATCCCAAATAGCCAGAAAGTGGTGGCCTCTTCTTTGTGGCATTCTTCATCCAATATGCCACATCCTTACTCCTGTTGACCCTTTATCATGGACGAGAATATTTTCTGTGAATGCTGTGGAGAACATTGATATCTGAGCCCTCCAAGTTTGGTGTCAGACCTCCTTTTTTGCATTCTGACTGAAACTAATCCAAAACTTTTCCCAAGCACATGGATACTTTAGACCATGTTGGGGTAGGCTAAATATTCCAAAAGACAAAAGGGAAAAACACATTAATAATTTTTCTAATTTTTACCCCAGTAAGCTAATTTTTGGCTTGCTAATATTGGCCCCCTGGTATTACTATATGAAACCAAGCCAAATCAAACCAAACCACAAGTTTCTCCAGATGAGGGAGAGCTGGAACAGAAGGATAAAGAAGACTCAAAATTCATTCTGCTAGGAGAACATTATTGGGTCATATAAAAATATCTGTCCAATAGTGTTTATAAATTATACTTCTATGGTCAGATACTTCCTAACAATATCTTTAGATATGGAAAATAAAGAAGGCAGAACTCAGAAAACTAAAAGTTTAAAGAAAGCTTTATTTGCTGGATTTTTTTTCCATCATCTTTTGCATAGTGTCTGTTAAATGGCAAGATAGAATTCTGTGTTGTTTTCAAAAAGACTCCTCTGATGCCTGAAAGTTCCTTATAAACTTAAATTTAATTTTGTTGACTTTCAGTACTACATTTTTAATTTGGTATATTAAAATCAAAGACTGCTCTCAGTGATCATTGGTACAGTTTACCAATAATCTAATTCATATACACAGCAAGTTACAGCTTCTTTTTCAATTCCTATAAGGATCTGTGGATTTGGATGTTACCTAAGCTGTCAAAACCATCCATGAATGCTTCCTGTTTAAGGTCTTTCCTGTATATACTCTCATTTACTATGGTAATTTACAATATATTTTCAAAGATTCAGAATATGAATAATCTTTCTATTTATGTATAAAGAAGCATTTCCTCTGTAAGGTCCCAAAAGTGTTTTGATTCTGCAGATCATATGCTCATTTAAATCTTTTCTTTCGATAAATTTAGAACTCACATCTTTAAAGATGCCCAGGGAATTCAGTCACTATGTGTGTGTGGTGGGGGGGAGGGGGTGGCAGGAGGGAGGATGTTCTAAAGAGTTAATATCTTTATTGACTTAAGGCAGTCATGACTCCAAGAATATAAATCTGAGAATCTTAGTTCCATCTTGGATCAACATTGTTGGAAATTAAAAATAAATGCTACCTGTTACAAACCACTGTGGAAACAATTTTGTCATGTAGAAAATGAATGTGGACATCTATAAACATAGTCATGCATGTGGTGTATTAGAAATGAACTATTAACCCATATCTAGGTTTATAGGATATTGTATTTCTCTTCTTGCTATTGAATGAAGCCACTAAGATAGCTGATTATGTTTATATTCCAAAATAAAACATTACAGATAATGACAGTTTCCCTCAAGAAGTTACTTCTGTATATCTGTATGTGTTGTCTTGCAGCAAATCCATTCTTGGGTCTATGCTATTCAGCATGACATTACAGAGTGAGCCTCCCATAGAAATGATCGCTCCGGGAGTGTGGGATATAAGTCAGCCATCCCCAGTGACCCTGCAGGTAAGTGCCAAGCTATGAGATGAAAGTACTCAGGGCTAGTATTGGTTGATAAGTAGCTCGCTGTCAATTACAGGAACAATTTTCTTCTAGGATCACACATTTTAATAGTCTTCTTTTCCTCCAGCCACTGGGATTTGTAAAAGCTCCACGGCTTTTACTTTCAATTCAGTACTCTTAAAGTACTTTTCTCTCAGCTTATATAAGAGCAAGTTCAAGCTATTCTCCATCCAACACAATCAAGAGGGAGAGGGATGGAGTGTCGCCATCAGTAAACTCACTATGTGCATTTATTTTTTTCCATTGTCTAAAAACAGTCATTGGTATATACTAACTTGGCACCTTACTCACACCTGCTTCTATATTGTATCATGTTCCTTAAAATCTATTTTTATTGTACATTTCCTAAATGACTATCAATTAGCTGAGTGATGACAGAGAAGCTGCAAATAAAATCCAAATCCATCTATTATACTTTCTTTTTCTCTTAAAGTCTCTCTACTTTCTGTGATTTGTGATCATGAATGAAAGGTGGTTAATGATTCCAGGCTTTAGTTCTCACTGCTGAGAGCTCCTTATTTGTCCATGATTATAAATGATCATATTGGTCAGATACCTGAAGCATGGTCATTCCCATACATGGGAATGTAGGGAATATGGACTTCCCATTCCCATAGGAAAAACTGGAAACTGCTATGTGGGCAGCACACTAGAAAAAGATTTCTCAACCTGGACACTATTGACATTTTAGACCAGATAATTATTTGTTGTGGGGGCTGTTATGTGCATTGTAGAATATTTAGCAGCATCTTTGGCTTCTACTCACTAGATGCCAGTAGCACCTTCCCCATTCTGATAAACATGCCTCCAAGTATTGTCACATGTCCTCAAGAGATAAAACTGCCCTCAGGTAAGGATTGATGCCCTAGAGCAGGGGTCGGCAAACTGCGGCTCGCGAGCCACATGCGGCTCTTTGAGTACGGTCCATCTCAAAAGTTTGCTGACCCATGGAATAGCCAATCCTGTCCCTCACAACAATTTAAAAATTATTCGAGAGCCATAAATACATTTTTACATAATTGCCATTATGTAAATATCCTTTAAAATTTTATAAATAAAACTATGATAGTTTTATTTTCATTTTCAATTTTACTTCAGAGCCACATGTATGTACCCAAAGAGCCGCATGTGGCTCGCAAGCTGCAGTTTGCTGACCCGTGCTCTAGAGGAAGCTAATGGCTCTTAAATTGCTAGGTTTGGGGTAAGGGATGTGAGGGACAAAGGTTAGCAAAATGAACAACATGTTGAAAATGGAAGACAAAAGTAATGCTAATAAAAATGTGACTTCCACTCTGAAGGGGGCGGAAGTCCCCACCAAATGGTAGCCAAAGATCCACTTCTAATCCACAGACACAATGATTAAAAAGAGTAGTTGTTCAGGTTAGATCTTGGCACAATCATAGACACTCAACAATTGATGGCGTACTGATTGGTAGATGTTCCATTGTAACAAGACAACTACCTTCCTTTAAAAGGATGAATGTATTTTTTCTCAGACTGTTATATTTCTTGCCAGATACAAACCACGTCAGCTTCACAAAAATCTTCCAAGTCTGATCACTGCCAGAGCTTTGTGGGTATAAATTCACGATTATAGAAACCTTTAGTGACAGTGATAGGTGTGGGAGAAGTAAGGGATACTATCAGATGAGACGCTCCTTGATTCTTCTCAGATGAAGGGAAAAGCTGCTTTAGGAACACAGACCCTGGTAAGTGGAATCTGAAGAAAAGGTTCAAGTATTTAACAGCAGCATAGATTTCCAAGTAGACACCTGGAGCCATAACCAAATTTATCTTCCAAAAGAGAGAGGCCTGTAAGTACTCAACAGTATGCAAAAACGTTAGATTATTTGATTTATACAAAATAATTTCCAATGGTATAGACAGAAAAAAGGAAACTTCTCAGAACATTTTTAATTGGTGATGAAATATACAAAATAAAATAAGAGTTATAAAAGCATTAAAGTTAAACCCTTAATAACCAGTATTACTCTAATAATTATATACAACTAAATTTAGAGCAAAATTTCTTAACATAAATATTATGAGATGGTAAGGAAGTTAGAAGCAAGTTCTTCATCAAGTGTTTGTATTAAGGAGTCAGCATGTGTCTCAGAAAAAGACATCAGACTGTGAATTTGGAAATCTGGATTTTAGTCTTAGCTCTTTAACAGAAAATTTTCTGTGAACAAGTCACCTAACCTTCTATTTTCTCCACTATACAATGAAAGTATTATAGTATGCCTGTCCAAGTTATTTCAAGTCTGTAATTTTTTTACTGTCTTTATCAGATGGGCAGCTACTGCATACTGTAGCCAACACAGTATGACAGGAGATAAGATATGTCACAGAACCCAATTCCTTCAAGTCAATCATTGGGGGTGGGGGGTAGGGGGCTCAATGGCTGATGTGCTGACTGTAAGCAGTGGATAGAGTGAAGTAGATCTGAGTTCAGAAAAGGAGACAGATTATTGCATGATTGCATCAACCTGAGCCTCCCTCAACCTCCTGCCTTTCCCCCAATAGAATCTAGTGGCTGTGTCACATTTTAAGAGCTAAGACAGAGTGGCTTTAGTTAATGTTTCTCTTGTTCCATTCTATATTTCTTTACTTCCTTACATCCCTATTCATGTTACATTCATTATATCCTGGATTATATGTCCTCACCACACTTAACTGTTGTCAAGGAACCCACTAATTCCTATTTGCCAAATCCAGTGGTGGTTTTCAGACTAACCTTCTCCCTGCAATTTTTGGCCTGATCTCTGCCCCATTACAAACACTCTTCTCTTCTGGCTTTCATGCTACTGTTCTCTTAGGTTCCACACTCCTCTCTGATCATCCTTTTTCTGTCTCCTTGTCAGGCTCCCCTTCTGCTAGTCCTCACTGTTGACAGTCCTCAAGGGTTCCATCTGCTGTTCATTGCTATTGTTAGTACACATAACCTCCTTGGGGGAATTTCTTAAAAAGCAGTTTAGTGGTTTCCTGAGGGTAAGGGGGGAAAGGGGTGGTAGAAGAGATAAAAGGGGATCAAGTATATGGTGATGGAAGGAGAGCTGATTCTGGGTGGTGAACCTGCAATGTGATATATAGATGATGGATGATGCATTATAGAAATGTACACTTGACACATATAATTTTACTAACCAATGTCACCCCAATACATTTTAATTTAATTTTTTTAAAAGCTATATTGTGATATAATTCACAAACCATACAATTCTTACTTTTAAAGTGCCCAATTCAGTGGTTTTTAATATTTTCAGAGATAGGTACCACTCATTACCACCATAGATTTTTAGAGCATTTTTATCACTTCAAAAAGAAATCTCATAACCTTTAGCTATCACCTTCTATTCTCCCATTTTCTTCAACTCTAAACAACTACTAATCTGCTTTATGTTTTTATAGATTCACCTATTCTGCATATTTTATGTAAGTGGAATTATACAATATGTGGTCTTTCGTGACTGGCTTCTTTCACTTAGCATAATGTTTCAAAGTTCATCCATGTAGCATCTGTCAGTATTCCTTCCTTTTTTTAACAAATAACATTACACTGTACAGATATACCATACTTTATCCATTCATCAGTCAATGTGCATTTAGATTGTTTTCAGCTTTTTACTATTAAGAATAGCACTGCTATGAACATTTGTGTACAAGTTTATGTATAGACATTTTTTGCACATACTTGACATTTGTTTTATCACATATGTTTACCAAAAAAATACAGACTTAAAAAGTAAAAGGAAAAAAAAAACACTGTTATTTCTACCTACTAGAGAAAGCTACTATTAGCATGTTAATATGTATTTTTATAGCTCTTTTCCTATAAGTGTGTGTGAATGTGCACACATACAACACATACACATCCAGGACTTTTTACAATAAGACATTACATCACAAAAAGTGTTTTGTAACACGATTTCATCACTTAATAGATTCTGTGCATCCTGTCATATCAATACTTCAGTATACATTTCCTGGCTGCATGAATATTCTATTTTGTAAAATAAATAAATTCTACTCAAATTTTCTGTAAATTGATTCCTCACAATTTCCATTATTAAAATGGAGCTATAAATCATATGTTTTTATTTACTTTGAATACATATACCTAGAGTGAAATTACTGGGTCTCCTTCATTTCTAAATTTTTGTTGACTGTGTCTATGCAAGTTCACTTCTGAGTCTGGATCTCTAGTTCATATTCCTTCATGCCACAAGCTTCAGACAAATATAGCCACATATCTGTTGAAACTCCCACCCGATACCCTATAGATAGCTTGGAAGACAACATATTCCAGACTGAGCTCAACTTGCACTCAACACTGCTCTTATCCCCCAAGTTATTTAACTCTGTTCGTGCCCCCACGTACACCTATCTGTTTTAGTTACCTCATTCCTCTTTTTCCCTACTCATATTCAGTCCATACGATATCCTGACAATTTATCTTCCATGTATTCCAAAAGTCTATCCTCTCAATTCCCCACATCATCTGTTTTAGATTACAACAGTTTAGCTGGTTTTATTGCCTTTAGTTTTGTCATGCTCTATTCTAAAATCCACAAGCGTGATCATTCTAAAACTTAAATCTGAACCTGCCACTCTCCTCCTGATAGACACTCTTCAATACCTCAGCACTACCTAGAGAATTAAGGCCAAGCTCTTACAGCATGAGTCCCTCCCGGTGCTTCTCTTGCCCCTCTTTACCTGACACTTCAAGCTCCAGCCACTTGGAAAATGTAGCTTCTGGCTTGCCCTGTCCTACCTTTATGTGTGTTTATGAATACTCTTCCCTGCCTGCAGTGTCCCTTCCCTTTCCCTTTTACCTTCTACTGCCCATCCCTCCACTGACTTTGTTTGTGCAATTGATATTCATTTTTAGTATCCACAGATGCTCAACTAAGTATCACTTACTTACCCCTTTCTCTCTTTCCATCCCAAGCAGGGTTAAGTGCCCTTTCTCTGTATTCATGATGTATAATGATCAATCGGATTTTTATCAACACATTTATATTATATTTCTTTTCCACTGACTGGGAAATTCCTAAGGCCATTGAGAGTGTTTTATTTCCAGCCTGGACTATAGTATTTGTAAACTTCATGGCATGTCTCCATACTTCTGATCACTACAATAACCCAACCCACGTGTATTTCAAAATTTAGCACTTTGGTCAACTTATCAGAATCCGAGCACCACAATGTTCAATTCTTTATTTTACATAAGTGGGCCTTCTCCTTAAACCACAGTTCTTACCCACTCAATCACCCAAAGTAGTTTACTTTACCTAATTTTTCTTTCGTGCTTATCTTCCATTATCAGTGGAGTTGTGGGAGGCGATAGCTTATTACTGATAACAAAAATTATACCAAAAACAAATTTTAGAGGTTACAAAATGAAATTGCTATAACTTTTTCACATAAATAAGAACCTAAATAGATTAAACTATGTTTCAAACTGTAATTCACACAATCTACCTCATAATATTCCTCAATTTTCTCTGAGATCCCAACCTAACATAATTCAGCAGAGAAAATACATTCTGTAGATTTTCTATTATGGAAATGAAAAAAAAAAGTTATGACAACCTTAAGCAAATATATAGAGCACTAGACTATTTAGCTCATTTACATGGTTTAAAAGTATATTTGTTGTTAACTTATTTTATTTACTAAAACAAGGTATCACTGAAACATGGTTTAATTGAAAACACACTAAGCCAGGAAAAAGTAGACCTTTTTTTGACCCTGTCTATAAATCTGAACTACAGAGCCAATGTAAAAATATTCCATTGCTTATACCAGAGATGATTTCACTCTCATATCTACAAATTGGTTCACAGACTTTTATGAAGTAAAGACCAACATAGAATAACTTTTTATTTTTCCAAGTGATTACATGAAAAAGTAGAATTACCATTTATAATTTTCATCGTTTAATACTAGAAAGACATTTTATTTGTAAAATATAAAAAGGCCATAATTTCAATGTTAAACAAAAACAATATCTTTAACTTGATGAAAAGTTTATATATTGTTATTATTTTTCTTATTTTTCCTCAGATTACTAATTTATATCAATTCTATAAATAATTGAGGACTTGCTAAATACCATCTATATTTAAATACCAAGTCCAAACCCTAATGATTTTTTGAAACTTATTTTTAAGTAAGAAATAGCGCAGAAAGCATAGGAATTTTTCTTTAGTTTCTACAAATCTAAAATGGATATTATTAAATTAATAATGCATTTTTGAGGCATTCAGTACATGGCAATCCATTTCTTTATTTCAGATTGACTTTCCAGCTACTGAGTGGGAGTATATGAAACTTGATTCTGAAGAGAACAGAACGAATCTTGAAGAAGCACCGAAAGAGTGTTTAAAACATATTGCCAGGCTTTCACAAAAACAGTCTCCCTTACTGTAAGTGACCCATTCACTCATTCATATGAGTGAATGCTGCCTGCTATTCATCAGTCATGCTGGAAGTATTCATTTCTTTAAAGAATGATTCTTTCTTCACACTTAACTCCTCTCATGTCTTAAAGTCACACCTGTGGGATAATCAGTTCATGTTTAGAAACTAAATTAGTAATTTTGTATGTTTTTAGTTTCTTTTTTTTTTTTTAGGTATTAAGCAACTTTAGTCTAAGGAAAAATAAAAAGATTGGCAATCCTTCAGTTCAAACAACAAAGCAGAGAGTGATTAGATATATATCAGCATCTAACAGGGATAAATCATTGCTTAACCATCCTTAAAGTAGATATAAAGTCGTTTCAGTAAACAGGAAGAAGCAAAATTTAATTATCATAGCTGATTTTAAAAGTACAGAAATAAATCATGTTTAATAGCACTAAATTAGAGACTAAAGAGTGCTTTAATTTTGTCAAACAGTAATTCTCTCAATAAAACCAAAACTCCAGGAAGAACTATAAGAGAATTAGTGGCGCTTGTCTTACTACTTGGCAATATCTAAAATACAGCTGATTGTGCTCCTTAATAATATGCCAAAAGCATAAAACTAAGAAAGCAACTCTTTATATATCCTGTGATAAGATATACAACAAGATAAGACATTTCATTCCAAGAATGAGGAACCATTTAAAGGTTTTTGAGTCAAGTGATCTGAATAATCTTTTTGAGGGATCCCTTTGACCACAAGTGGAAGAATGGATTGGAAAGGAAGAGTGGAAGCAGGCAGTACAGCAAGGAGGTTTATGTAATATTTTAGGCAGGAGGTCATGGTGGCTAGAACTAGGGTGATGGCAGTGGAAACTAAGAAATGGCTGGATTTGACAGGCCTATTTTTGGAAGATGGGAAGATATGACTTGATGATTAATAGTAATTAGGAATTAGCCAATTGAGAAACCAAGGGGTCAAAAGTCAATGGAGAATCCAAGGTTTTCAACTGATCAATGAAGCAGATGTTAGAGTCCTATTCTGGAGGAAGAACAAGTTTGGTCCATCCAAAATGGAGGTATTGAATGTAATCAAGAGTTCCATTTTGGGTAATCTTGCTACTGCCTGCTCTCTCAACTTGCATTGCTCTTTTCTTCATTCACTTTAAGCTGGTGACATCAGTCTCCAGCATATATTTCAAGTGTGCTAGCCCCTCTTCCATATCAAGAGCTTTTAACTCGGGTCAACCTCTACCTGAAAATACCACTTCCTCAGTTCTTCTAAATGCTGAGTTGTCTCATCCTGTAGGTCTTTACTTAAATGTGATTTTTTTTCAAAGATACGCTCAACCACATGGATAATTTCCAAAACAGTAAACTGAGTGAAGGAAGCCATAAATAAAAGCATATTTACTCTATGAGTCCATTTATATGAAATTCTAAAATAGGAAATATTAATTATAATACAAGAAATGATAACAGTATTTACCTCTGGTGGAATGAGAAAAGTGGTTTTTACCCGAAATAGGAATTTGTCAAAATGTATTAAACTGAATCTGTTCATTTCCTTGTATGCAAATTATGCTTCAATAAAAGACGTTAATAGAGGAAAGAAGCATTATTTAGTATTGGGGGAAACGGGAATGCAATCAGAACAAAATAATTTGTTTTAATAATTTAGTAAAATTTTGTTATGGAGTTTTTTCTTACGAGGGCTTTCCAGTGGAGAAGGTAGTGACAAACAGGAAAGGAGCCCAAACATAGCTTTAAAACTATCTATTCTTTCATTTTTCAGATAAAGATGGCTTTAAAAGAAGTTGGAGAGTATTATTGACTTTTAAAATCTTTAATATTTCTCATTGCCAGTCTTGGGAGTTTTAGCTAATTTGAGCTGAACAACAGAATGTCAGTTTGGAGGAGACAGCATTCAAAAGCTGTCATTGTCATTTGAGAAATGCTGTTCTTCAAGTTGCACTGTGGTTCTGAATGCTTCTTAAAAGTGTGAGCAAAACATGATAAACTATCAGTGAGTCAATAGCCCTCATCCTAGATTTAGATCTTTTCTGTTTGCCACCACTCTCCAAGGGGAAATACTTGGATATTTAAGGAAGTTCTAGTCACTGGCATTTTAAATCCAAATTTCCAGTGAATTTTGAAAATTTAAAGCCAGAAACCAGGGATGAATTGAGATCTTTGTTTTTGAATTCAAAGCAAAGAGTTTTCTGAACTCTGATGAAACTGGCTTTGAGGTGAAGGAATTCATATTTAAAATATGCCATTTCTTGGGGTGGCTGGATAGCTCAGTTGGTTAGAGCACGGGGCTCTGAACAGGGCTGCCAGTTCAATTACCACATAGGCCAGTAAGCTGCACCCCCTACAGCTTAAAAAATATATATATATATATATATGCCATTTCTTCACAGGCCTACTTGGCTCTAAGTTAATTTGTAAAGAAAGTAAGAGAGCAAATGGCTGCTTACATCTCTTCTAACTAATATATGTTGCAGGATTCAGAAAAATGTGGTCCGTCCTAAAGGAGACAGAGATTTTGCCAACCAAATTTTTTAAAAAGTGACAAGGATAACAGAAAAGAAAAGTGTGAAATTTCTGAAAAAGTAAATTTTTACTTTTATTTTAATTTTTTTAATTTATTTTAAAATTATTTTCTCTATAAAAGAATAAAGTTAGTGGGGAATAAGCTGATGAAATAAACTTTCAAACTGTTACAGGAAGATTAAAGGACTTGTGTTCCAAAATAAACCAAAATAAAACTTAAAGAACCAGAGTAACCTTTGATACTGTGTGTTTACAGCAACATTGGTTAGTATAGAAAACCTCAGCAAATTATAGTTTCCAATCTGGTTTTGCAGACTCTCTGAGGAAAAGAGAAGATACTTATGGTTTTATCGTTTCTACTGCAATAATGAAAACTGCTCCCTTCCTTTGATCCTGGGTAGTGCCCCTGGATGGGATGAAAAAACTATTTCAGAAATGCATACCATTTTGAGAGGATGGAAATTTTCTCACCCTTTGGAGGCACTTGGACTTTTGACTTCCAGGTAAGAATTACATAACAGGTATGACATTACTGATGAGAGAATTTTATTTGAAGAGAAAAAAAAATAAGGGACTATATGATTAATTCAGGAGGATTTCTATTTGTTCCCAGTTTCAATAGCTATTGATAATAAATTTAGGTAAATGCAAACTATGAAAATAAAATTTAAACAAATGTAAGCAATAATGGTGTCTTCTGTACTAAACATCAAGTGCAATTAATAGCTATAGTTTCTTAAATGGAAAGACTCTATGGTTGTTACAGAAATAACAGAAAAAATGGGAGTGGGGAAGGAAGGAAGGGAGGAGGAAAGGAGGAAGGGAGGAAGGAAGGAAGGAAGGAAGGAAGGAAGGAAGGAAGGAAGGGAAATTTTTCTGTTAGTTTAGAGCTTTTTCCTTTTTTTATAAAACTTCTGTGAATCCTAGAATTGACCACTTCTGCCTAGTACAGTGCTCTATTACATTATAAATTAAATTTTTTGCAATGTGTACATGCAACATGTGAAACTTGTAATTTTCTCCACATTAGACTCAGGTCTACCACAGGTAAAATAGGTCATTTTAGTATCTCTATTTCCCAAGGGTTAATAATATCTGGAACATAGTAATTACTCAATATTGAATCAATCACCTTCTAAAATACATTATGATTATTTGTGCTTTAACATTTAAATTATGTTATTTGAGGGAATCACCTATTATCTTTATGACTCACATCACCTGTACAGTTGAATGAATTAATAAGAGAATGATATGGTAAGAAAATCAATTAACAAATGATTTGTTTCATTGGGATCATTCTCAGTTCATGTTTGTGTTTCATGGCCCTTCTGGAAAAAACAGGTTTTCACCCCTACCTTACTCCTAACCTCTTTTCTTGATTTAAATATATAAGGATAGCCTAAATCTGCTATTTTTATACTAAATTCTAGTTATTTTATGGTTCAAGTAATTTAGAATATTAACACAATTATTATTTTGTCATTCTTGAACTGATGATCTAACACAAAGTTGGTTCAAAATGTGAAAGTAACAATTCACAGAATAAGAGAAAATTTTGACAAATCATATATCTGATAAGGGACTTGTATCCAGAATATATAAGCACCCTTGCAACTCAACAACAAAGAGATAAATAATCCAATTTTTAAATTATCAAAGGAGCTGAATAGATATTTCCCCAAAGAAAATATACAAATGTCCAATAAGAACATGAAAAGATGTTCAACATCACTAACTAGTAGGGAAATGCAAAGAGATGCCACTTCACACTCAAGAACATGGCTGTAATCAAAAAGGCAAATAATGATAAGTGTGAGAAGAATGTGGAGAAATTGGAAATCTCATATATTGCTGGTGGAAATATAAAATGATGCAGCCACTTTGAAAAACAATTGGTCCATTTCTTAAATATTAAACATCAAGTTACCATAATGACCCAACAATTCCACATTTAGGTATATATCCAAGATAAATGAAAAATATTTCCACTCAGACACTGACTCATACACAAATGTTTAGACCAGCATTATTTATAATAGGCAAAAAGCACAAACAACCCAAATGGCCATCAATTAATGAATGGATAAACAAAATGTGGTCTATCCATACAATGTAATATTATTCCATAGTAAAAGGAATGAATACTAATATATGTTACAACACAAACTTTGCAAACATCATACTAAGTGAAAGAAGCCAGTCACAAAAGACCACATATTGTATAATTCCATTTGTAAGAAATGTCCTGAATAGTCAAATCTATAGAGACAAAAATAAGACAAATGCTGTTATTATTCTAATTTTGCCTATGAGTAAACTGACATATACAGGGGTTAAGTTGCCCAATGTGACATTAGTAAGCTGAGAAGTTAGAGTTAAATCCAGAGATTTAGAGCTTGCAATCTTAACCAGTGTGCTTTACAGCCTTCTTACATAAATATTCTAGGCTATTTACATATTAAGTATGTAAATAAAATGATCCTAAAATAGTATTATTATAGTAAATAGCAGTACTTAATTATCTTACTGTGCTTGGGTGTTTCTAATTTACTGTGAGATTTCTTTTTTTCTGAATAATTAGACTTTTAGAGGTTATAGGGAGTGGTTTCAAAGTAGAGTGCCATTTATTAAGTGTCACTCAGGGAACTTAGTAGAAACTTGATTTATTTACATGCTGGACAGTTTATTGTCATGCACCAAAGGAAGTCACTAAAAAGGTTGGAGTATTTCCATTGTATTCATCCTGTGACTCCCACTCTCAGTTTAAGTGAAGTAAAATCTTGAGGACAAGCTGTTTCCAGAAATGAACCTTTCACCTTTTCTAAATTCAAAAGCTGACTTTTCTAAGCACAAACAGTATGTGCTTGTTAAGTGAGTTGTCAGAGTGAGTTCTTCAAAGATCTGTATTTTTTCTCCTGTGAATAGTCTATTTTTTTAATGGTTGAACCTCTTGAGGACTTGAGTGCTCCATTTTTAGCTGGGATAATTTTTAATATTGTTTACTTAACCCTGTCTGAAGACGCACCACCTCCTTTCAGCTTATTTTTAGCAAGAGACACGTTGAGATTTAATTTATCTAATGTGGGCCATAGAGTGTTAATATTTCCACTACCAAATGCCAGCAATATGCTCACCCGGTACTGATACTTACATTAGAAAAGGACATTTTGTCAGAATATGAGACCCAGGGCTAAGGTCTGTGGTTCTTGGCAGATGGTTGCTATTTTCTTGAACCCTGATGCACAGGCACAACTATTTAATTGCTAATAACAAGCAGAAATTACCCAAGGAATTAAAAGTCAGTTCAAGGAAAGTATTCATTTAAAAATAGCAGCTCTGAATTGGCATCAGAGGACTGCATCAGAAGCTTAAATAAAAATTTGACAAGGTACCAGAACTTGCCATACCACATGATATAAAATTGTTTTGCAGGAAGAAGAGCAATACTTAATAACAGGCAGTGCCTTCATTTCCAAAATCAGTTTCCTTGGAAAAATGTTTCACCAAAACATTTGTCCAAATGTTTTGTTGTGGAGATTAATTTATACAAATCCAGTCTTTACTAGCAATGTAAATAGGCAGAATGGAATATGGAAAAGGAAAACAGTTATAACTTCCACGTTTGACTAAATAATAAAGTGATTGATGATTGTCTTTTCCATTTATTTATTGAACAAAAACATGTGTGCATAGAAATTGGTTTGCAGTGAATCAAAGAGACAGAAAGAAAAGTCATAGTGGCTGTCTGTTTAAAAAAAAAAGATAAAATTTAGAAGGAAGACTTAAGCTAGAGATCACTATACAATATACTCTATACTATAATCAAAGTATTAAGTGCTATATGTACCCAAAGGAGGTGAAAATTCTTTCAGAGAAAGTAAGGAAAGCTTTATAAAGGAATTGAATTCTGACTTGAAATAGTCATAGGAATTTTCTGAGTGAAGAAGAGAGAAAATGGCATTCCAGGAAGAAAGACTAGTATGAACACACTTAAGGAGGCTCGGAGAATAGTGAGTGATTTAATATCATATTAGAAGGGAATTGTACTGGGAGACAAGACTTAGATTGTTTGGGGCCTCATGGGCCAGGTAAGTACTCTGGACTCATTACTGCAGCCCATGGAATTTTGTTAAGGACGGGAGTCATACAATCAGATTTATGTTATACGAGAATAATTCTGGCATTAGTGTGAAGGATGGACTAAAAAAAGAAGAGAATGAGAGCAAAGATGTTAGATATATGTCAGGTATTGAAATAGTCCATTTGAAAAATGGTCCAGGCCTGATCTATGCATTAGTAAAGATCCACAGAGCATATCTGAGGACCATTTCAGAGGAAAGCGAAAAAAAAGGGGGGGGGTAAGGAAGACTTTGAACTTTCTTATTTGGGTAAATAATAGCTAGCTCCATCATTGGTCAAGACAAGAGTTATAGAAGAAATAGAAGAAACAGCACATTTAGGTAGTCTAAGAGAGTTCTGTTTTGGACATGCTGCATTTTTAAAACCTGTGGGACACTTAGGAGGAGATGCCTAGTATTCAGTTGTATATACAGATCTGAAGCCTAGTAGAGAACCCAAAACTTGCAAATGAAATACAAGTTATTGTCTTAAAGGCAGTAATTGAAGCCATAGAAATAGAGGTACTGTGTTTATATGTGTAGAGGCAATACAGAAAGGGGCAAAAGATGAAACCTTGGAAAGTAGCAATATTTTAAGGACAGCAAAGCAGGAGAGAAAATTTTGGAAGCGTGACCAAGGGGTTGGAGGAGACCCAAAAAAGTCCAGTGTTTTAGAATTCATGAAAAAAGAAAAACTCAAAGACTTCAGAGAAGTGTTCAGTAGAGTTAGGTTTTAAAAACAGATCAATGGATGTGAAAATAGAGCAGTCAGTGATGATATTAGTGAGAGCAGTTTTAATAGTGAAGTTTGATGCCATACTTCACAGTATTGAAGAGGACTGGAGAGAAATAAATTATGCCTATTGGAATAGGATTTATCGAAAAGGAAAGACTGTCAAAGTTGGAGGAGGCCAGAAAAAGATTTTGAGGTTTGGGGTTTGTTTGCTTGTTTAAATAAAAGAGCTTCAAGCACGCTTACAGACTGAGAAGAAGGCTGTATGAAGGGAAGATCAGAAAACAGAGGGATGGGTGAAATGGCAAAATGAGATGTTATCAACAGCCAATAGTCTGGGACAAAAGTGTAAATGGGAGTTTTATCCAAGGAAAGAAAGGGTAACTTCTTCCTCTCAGGTGGGAGGGAAGAAAAATATAAATATAATTATAGATAAGTATGGATATGGAAGAGAAAAATGTGGAAGTTTCAATATTCTCCATGAAGGAAGAGTCAAGGTAATGTACTAAGAATGAGGAACATGGAACTGTATAAACTCCCAAGATATGTATCTTGCCTTTGTACACTTTTGGAGGGTTTCTGGAGTTGCTTCCATATTTTACAATTGACAGCATAAGCTTTTAAATCAAACATATCTGGCTCTGCCACT